GAAACAACTTCTATACAACGAAAGGAGACTGCGACCACACAAAAGACCACACCATCTTGGTCTTCATACCTTCGATTAGCACTAATATTGCTTAGGAATAATAATTCCTTAGGCTTGATTTAAAATAATATTATGTTATTAAAAAATGATTTCTTAAGTGGGAACATGTAAAGAGAGATACAAAATGAAGACATGGTCTCATTTCATAGCCTTGCCTTTTCGATTGTCCTCTATCGAGATATTCGAATTACTAGGAGAGGTAGTCTCGAAACCCTACTCTAATACGAAATGAAAACGGTTTTCAAGGAGACTGTGACACTTTCATAGTTATGCCCAATTTTATAGAGAAAGATGACCAATTATCCAGCTCTGTTTGAGATAGGTTAAGGCATTAATGCAGTTTCTTTATTTTGGATCACAAATTGTCTGGTGCAAAACCAATCTCGCAATACAATTTATGAATGCATACGAAGAAATTACATTAAATTTGAGGAAATTAAAATTTAAGCCTATTGGTTAATTTCCTTATTTTTGTCTATAAGTAGTTTCGAGACTACTACTAAATCAGTCATATGAGATGTATTCACCCTATTTCGTGTAAGCTAATAAAGGACTGGTAGTTGAATTTTCCCACAATGCTATAAGTAAAGTTGATATGGAAAAATGTCTGGCTTTCCTTGAAATTCACATCCAACCTGTGACCCAAGGGCACTCGTGGAAACACGGTGCAGTGATTTACGTGTCGAGACTACACGCTGTATTGTCATGTTTCGAGTCCCGCTGAGGGCGCTGATAAGACCAAGGCGAGGTGAAAACTGCAGTCCCCTTCAACCTGGATGAGAATACATTCTGTGCTGGGATTGTCTACGAATCAAACTTATATTTGCTATGGCAATCGACGACGTTACTCTTTTCGTGAGTGAGTAGGCTTTCGAGACTACCAGTTAATCAGATCTATGAGTTGTGTTCACCCTATTTCGTTCAAGGTGATGAAGGAATGGTAGTCTCGAGGACCTACTCATTCACGAAAAAAGTAATGTCGTCGACTGCAGTCCGCTCTGAATGAGAACACCTTTTGTGAAAGCAAGACTATGTGAAATTCAATGGAAAACATCAGCTCTACTCATATGACTGTGTGAAAATTCAACTACCAGTCCTTTATTACCTTAAAAGAATTATGGTGAAGACAACTCATAGATCTGATTTGCTGGTAGTCTCGAAAACCTACTCACAAATTGATGTTTGGCAGAGCATACAGCAGAAACTGGACATGAGATTGAATGGTCTCAAACTTGTAGTTTGGCTGATTAGGAAATGCGGGAAATTAAGAAGGCCATTGACATCAGCATCAAATGTCAGAAGAACCGGTACGAAGTGAAGTCACAACTATTCGTGCTTACTCGATGGAGTCAAGAGTAGACGGGACGTTGAGCCTGTCCTATCATGTCAGGGTTCTAATCACTACTACTACTTTCTATACGTCTTAGTTCATTCTTTTTCTCTTACACACACTCTGACAATTAGCTGACCAACGTAACCAGACGTGGCTTCGATATTACCCAATCGGAGGGATGGTCAAAGTACAGAAAAGCCTTGATGACAGAGGACAGATGTTAGGTTCTGTTCTAATCACCTTGACCACATAATATTCGTTAACATGAGAGCACACACAAATAGTCACTTACATATACTTCTAGATTAACATGCAACTCAGAGTAACCAAATCACGAAGAGTAGCAGAAGTCCAATGAATCTTTTGGGATAACTTTGTTGTGAAGGCTTTCATTTAGGATCATAGTGACTAAACAAGAGATTCGTTGGTTGATATCATCGGAAACCGATGGCTGGCTCTCGTTTGTCTGCAGG